ATAAGCAAGATAAATAAAACATGTTTATAAAAGTTGTATCCTGGAACACTGGTTTTCAACGGCTGAAACAGATTCAATGTGATGGGGTGACATTTCAGAAGGTTGGTTTTTTTTTTCCTTTGTTTGTTTTTTTCCCCTGATAGTCTCTTTCCCTGACTAGATGTAAACCCTCCTCCTGTTTYTCTGGTTTTATTCTACTAGCTGTGACTTCTGGGAAACTTTTCWTTTTGATGGACTTTTCCTTTTTTTTATCAAGGCAGCGATGTATAAAAGAATTGGCATAAGCCTAAGAGCTGGAAAATACCAAGTCTTACTCAAGTTTTACTGCATCCTTGTGGTATAATCTTTGGAAAAATCACTTGTGCCTGCCTTTTGCGCACATGCACTCTCTCTGCAGTGGGGAGAATATTTTGATAGCTGCCTCCATAGAGGTGTTGGTAGTTCTGTTGCATTCTATAGCACGTGCAAGAAGAAAAGTGCTATATTATATGTTAAGTATTGCTCATCAAATAATTCCTACCTGTGGAAAGATGAAATTAAGGAACAGCTGTGTGGTGTTTAACTGTTCTGTACAAAACTGAAGGTTGTTTTCACTCAGAGGGTCATTTCTACTTTGTATCACAACTGAACTCTCAGAACTTGCAGTCAGATACTTTTGACTTCGTTGTGAAACAGTCTGGAACTCCATACAAATAGGTGGGATATCACTTTTCCATGTCCTGTGTGAAGAGCACAAATGAAAAATGTTTTCACTGCGGGAAGTGGTAAGCTTGTGAAGACCATATTCCACACCAGGCATCCTGAAAAACGGGGCTGATGTCTGGAAGCAGCAGTTTGAGTCAAGGCCTAGAACATTCCTAAACTGCAGTCTGGTCAGAAGTTGCTGTTCTGTGTCTTTTTTAGGAAGCTATTACTGAGATAATAGTCCCAACTGTTTTTTAACTGGAAAAAAATAAAAAGACAAACCTTTTAATGTTGAACTGATGTAGGAAAACAGTGAATTCTTTTAATTATTTGATTTTTCTTTGTGCATCAGCTTATGTCTAAATGGTTGGTAGAACACAAGCAGCTCAGCTTTCTCCATTGCACACCAAATGCTCCTTATGGAACTAACTGTAATTTGACAGTAAATGTGCACCATACTCAATTCAAGACCACTGAATGGATCAAAGCATTCCACCTAAAGTTTGGGGAGCTGGTTTGGGTTTCTTTTCCAAATTAAATTTATTAATAAAACAGTGGGCCACGTAAATGAGAGACAAGTTTGTAAACCTTTCCATGTGTGAAAATGGCCTTTAGAGCAGCTGCTGTGCTGTTGCTGATGGAGGTAGAGGTGGAACAAGGTCATGAGATCTGAGCTGGGAATTTGCTGGGAATTTGCAGGGGCCCCTTTAATCTCAACCCATGGTGTAATAAAGTGTCCTGAAACATGTGGAGTCCCCTGTGGGACACAGAGCCCTCACTGCATTTCTGGTTCAGGGGAGCCCTAAATTCTCCAAACACCGATTCTTGGCCTTAGATCTGAGTTCCATCCATATCCCAAGCCCTCCTAGGTGTGTTCCTTGTCAAAAAGGTCCTGTTTTGAGCAAAGACTCTCACCAGAGTTTGGTGCATCTTGAAGCAATGCTGTGGCARTTTGGGGCTGGCTCTGTTGCTGAGCCTGCTGTGGATGTTGGGATGAGCTGTTTATTCCAGTTATGGGATAACTGGGGCCTAATCCTGTGGCTGGAAGGAGAGCCTTGGAGAGGATTGTGTCTGAGCCTGTTTAAAAACAAACTTCTGCCTTCAGCCTCTTGCTCCCTCTTGGCTGTAATTCAGGGGTTCCTGAGCAAGTAATTTATAAATCATTCAAATATTTCAGATACTTACTGTGTCTGGGAAACTCGGATCCTTCCTAGACATCCTCCTACTCAAAAACCAAGAAATCATGAGCTGTTATCTTRTATGTGAGACCAACCTTGTCCTGAATTTTGCTTCTGTGTTTTTCCTGTGTCCAGGCTGTTTGCTAAGAACTGTTCACCAGTACAGTTTATGGATTTTGCTGTGGTGATGGTTCTAAACTTCTCTGAACTTGTTTTTTTCCCAAGATCCTGTCTTTTGCATACAACAGTCTCTGAACTGTCAGTCAGAATTGGCTTCTTGTTATTAATGAGTCAATGTATTCTGCTGGGACTTAAYTAAGAGAACCTTGTGTCCTTCAAAACATGTCTTCTCAAAATGTCCTGCTGACCTGAACTTTTTAAGCAGGTTTGGTTGTGTTACAGGGCTTTGGAGGAAGGATTGCACTTCCTTCTTTCTCCCAAATGGCATTCGAGTAGAGAAAAGTTACAGAAGAGGCTTTAACTGTAGATTAAAACTGAAAAGATGATAAATGATACTGAAAAAATGGTGATATTTCATATGATTAAGAACAAATCGGGAAAAGCCTTTGTGTACCAGCAGAAAGAAATACAGAACAAATTAGAAGTATATTGATAACCCCTCCCCGTTAATGAGGCTGCCAGTCACATCTGGGAAAACCCAGATCCCCCCTCTTGCTCATGTGAAACTGTTCTTGGTTGATGTCCATGGCAAAATATTGAAAAGATGCTCGAAGGTACAGATTTCTGGGAGAGCTGAGGTTTGTCACTGAAGTAGGCTGGTTTGGTTTCTGAAATCTGGACACCTGGGTTTACAATTTTCTATCTGCACTGAGTATGGATGGGACTGGAAGGGTTTCCTATCACTTGAACTGGAACTAGTGAACTTCTGCAGATGGGGAATGTGGAGGTGTCTTCCACTGCTGGACCGAAACATCTGAGGAGCAAGCAGGAAATGATCCCAAACAACAAAACTGTTGAACTTAAAAGAATTTCCTTATTTAAATCTGACCCTAAATAAATTTWTAATTTTTGTCTGGAACTTTACTGGAAGCTCCAGCACTGCAGCACCGTTCAGCTCCCTTCTAATTGTGGTTTTCTTATTAAATGACAGGATTTGTTAAAATGTGTTGCATTGATCCAGACTGTTGTGGAGTCAGTGGCAGGACTTGATGGAAGGAGCTTTGACAGGGAATTGGGGGAACATTCCCTTATTTTTGTCAGCACACCTCACAGTCGTGGAGAGGCTGATTGCTAAAATGGAACACGTTCCTGTTTGTCCAGAGCCAAGGAGGTGGCATGGGAARGTCCTTCAAACATGTTTTTGGTGTAATGTGGCAGATGATGACAAACTTAATTTTCTAGACTGTTCATCTAAGGGAAGAGGTGCTATTAACCACTTTCAGAGGCTTTTTGAATATAATGGTGTTAAAGTTGGTGGATCTCTGGATCCAGCCTTAATGGAGGGAAGGAAATCTGTAAAATTGGCTTCCTAGAGCCACTTGGAGCAGCACATAGGAGAACTGTGTTAGGAAAACTAGAGCCTAACTGGGCATTTGGTTCTGTATTAGTTATTGCTTGCTCCTGCTGCAGTTTTAYTAAAAGCCAGGTTCTTTTCCCCTCCCTTTTAATACTCCTAAAAACCAGATGGGTGTAACTAGCTTGGTTCTAACTCTGCTGGCCCATTTCTACCCACCAGTGTATCAAGAGTACACCTGAAATCTTGGTCTCAAGCAAAATTGTAGTAAACATCCATTGGATTTTCATTAAATGAAAATGTATTTCCTCCTTTGAAGCTTTTTGATTTTAGAATGAATTTTAGTAATGCTTCTACCACRTAAGTGTTGAGAATTTTTGATTTGTTGTCAGGTTTAAATTTTCTGATGGCCTTAAACATACCTGTATATATGTCTTTGCAATTCTTTAACTCAAAGTTGGAAACAAATTGGTTCATGGCTTCTGTAAACACTTGAAAAATAAATCTATTTAAATGTTTTATGTCCTTCCCTTTTAAGCAGATATTTCATACCTGAAGGGATTGCCTTGCTACACTTCTGTTGCATTGGTGGTTTTGTCTCTGGCTGGGTTTGCCTGGGTTCACCTAAAAAAGTACTGTTCTACAGTCTTTATGATTATTAATTCAGTAGTTTTATCATATTATTGTTATATTTTAAAGCAAACAACCCCAAATACATCCAGTGATATTAAACACATTTTTCCTATAATGTCACCTGGTTTTAAATACTTCATTGTTTGAATGTTCAAGTTTAAAAAAAAACAAAAAACCTGGCAGTATCAAAAGCTAAGAATAAATATATCTATGCAAATAGCTTGGCTCAACTTTGGTATTGAAAGGTTAGGAATAGTTTTACTGTCAGTTTGAGAATAAAATTCCGTGTTTCTGAAAACTCACTGGGATTTCAAGTCAGGTTGATAAATTGTTTTCTTGTTGCAACTCCACACTTGTGCAGCTTGGGATTTTGCGTGGAAAACTCTGAATTAGCTGTGGTGGATTTGGTAAGGAGCAGAGCTTAAATATGACAAGCTCCCTAGTCTGATAGAGGAGCAGGATTCCTAATGTTTCCTGGAGTTCTGTTYAGTATCTGATAATAATGAACCCTGAAGATTTATTGTTTTCTGTGTTCTGTTTGCTCTCTGCAGTCTGGTTTTCTTGGGAAAACGGTCCGAGTGCTCTTTTTAATGTATATTTGTTTTTGTTGTCTCTCCCCTGTAGCAAAGGCCATCCAGGCTCTGTTTGGTGTGGAAATGGAATTAAATCTTTATCAAATCAGAGGCGGCCTGGGAGGGGCGGTGCGGGCAGGGATTTATTTATAACAAAGCATTGAAAAGAAAAAAAAAAAAAATCAGCGTTGTCTTTGGGACTGAAGTTCTATTTATCCCCTTTTCACGGCCAAAAGTCACTGAAGTGAATAAATGACACAGGGGCTGCTCAGTGTCTCGCTGGGATTTTGGGAGCTGGCTTGCCACAGGAGTCCTTTCCCATGTGGAACGCTACCTTCAATAATTCTACTTTAATAGTAGAATGTAGAAATGTGTGTTTGTACAGAGAAATGTATTTATAAACTGAAATATGTACGCGTGACGCAGGCGGACAGCGCGGGCAGCCCCGGGGTCCTTCCACGCTGCCGGCGCGCGCGCCCCGCCCCACGTGGCTCCCACGTGGTGCCGCAGGAGCCGGGAGAGCCGGGAACGGGGAGAGAACCGGGAGAAAGCACCCGGAAAAAGCTTCTGGGGAGAGCTCCGGGCAGCCGCGGCCATGCAGCGCCGCAAGGTGGATAACCGCATCCGCGTCCTTATCGAGAACGGCGTGGCGGAGCGGCAGCGGAGCCTGTTCGTGGTGGTGGGCGACCGCGGCAAGGACCAGGTAACGCCGTGCGGGAGCGAGTGCGGGGTTTGTGGGTGCTGATCCGGGCCCGGGCCCACCGCAATCCCTCGGGCCCGGCTCCTCTCCGCCTCCAGCAGGAGTTAACCCTGCGCAGCACCGGGCAGGGCAGGGGTGGCGGCCTAGGGAGGAAACTCGCAGGGACAGAGGGCTTAGAAATGGTGTGTGAAACCTCACCTTAGACATCTCCTGTCTGAGGAGCTCATCAACATCAAATAAAATTCAGGGCAGCCTGGGGTTTGTGTGTTTGGTTTGGGTTTTTAACTGGGGCGGAAGGTCTTAAATTTCCTGGCCGGCTGGAGTTGTTTTCCTCTCGGTTCCATCGTGAGCTGTGATGGTTTCTCACTCGGAATGGGTTTTGTGCACTGAGTGCTCTCGCAGATGATCCTCCTTGGTGAAGCTGTGTGSGAGAAATTAAGTGCTGAACTCGTTTTTCTTCAGAGACTCTGGCCGTRTATTGTGTGAGTGGGAAGGGGAAGAACAGCAGAACAAAACCATGATGGTTTAGGTTRGAGCCGCTCCCAGAATCACAGAACTGTTCAGGGTGGAAAAGCTCTGTGGGGTCACACAGTCCGGGTGTTCCCCACAGCGTTTGTTGTTTGACAGGTTGTTATCCTGCATCACATGCTGTCCAAAGCCACGGTGAAGGCCCGGCCCTCTGTGCTGTGGTGCTACAAGAAGGAGCTGGGCTTCAGCAGGTGAGAGAGACATCCTTGCTGCTCTCTGCTTCAGGGATTTGGGTGGGAGGGGAAACCAGGTTTGTTCCTGGAGGAGCTGTGGGAAGTTGGGTCTTCSAGGGCTGAAATTTGGCTTCCATAATAGAATTGACACCGGCAAAAAGTACCTCTGTGTTTTTTCTGTGGCTCTAACACTGACTCTGCTGCCCTGGAACAAACTCCCCCTCACCTTTTTAACCCCTAAAGGCCAAAGCTTGGCTTCCTCAGCTTTTTAACCTCAGCAATATTTAGGACTGAGCTCTGACTTCCAGAGTCTGAGTACCCTTTTCCAAGAAAACTCCTGTGTGGTTTTGTCCCCCAGCCACCGGAAGAAGAGGATGAGGCAGCTCCAGAAGAAGATTAAGAGTGGAACTTTGAACATAAAGGACGATGATCCCTTTGAGTTGTTCATAGCAGCCACAAACATCCGCTACTGCTACTACAATGAAACCCATAAGATCCTCGGGAACACCTTTGGAATGTGTGTCCTTCAGGTGAGGAGTTGCCTGGCTCCMAAAAATGCCCTGCAAGAATTAATTGGAACGTTGCAGGAACAGGATTTGTGTCTTTTGTTTGCCTTGCTCATCCTTTACAAATGTTGCGAGGGTGAGGTGGCCTCGCTGGTAGGAGCTGTAACAGGACATTGTTTAATGCAAATTGAAGTGTGAGTGAAGCTTTGAGGAGTGAATCTTTCAGACTTTTGTGCCTTTCAGTTGCACTGAAGGGCTCTGGGCAGCTCTGAGGTTCTGTTTGTTCCCCAGGATTTTGAAGCCTTGACCCCAAACCTGTTGGCCAGAACAGTTGAGACAGTGGAAGGGGGTGGAATTGTGGTGATTCTCCTGAGAACTATGAACTCCCTGAAGCAGCTCTACACGATGACCATGGTATGTTCAGCATGATGTGCCTGTTTTCTATAAGCAGCTGCATTGAAAATTTATTCTTCTTTGAGAATTCATTGAGAATTATTGCTTCTATTATGGGCTGTGATCTTCCTTCCATCATCTTTCCTGCTTCTTTATCTGTGACTGGATTTATTATAGTCAGGCATTTCTGAAATGCTGCCAGGAAGGAAGAGATGCATGTTGCTCACAAATGTGACTGTTCTTTTGTTCCATGAGAATTTTGGAAAGTATTTATCCTGTCTGCCCATCTGTCAGCAGTTTTAAGTTTAAAAAAATAGAGCTTTGGGGTGYTTTGTGACCTGAGATCAGCTTCACAAAACAAYTCACAYTGACTGTGCCTACACCAGSATCAGRAGYTGTTTCCATCRTTAATAATAATTTAAATAATGCCAGCAGCAGAGGAATTAAAATCATAGAATATTTTTCCTTTGCATCCCTGAGGTGCCTGAAATGATCTGACAGAGCTGACCTTTAAGTCAGGCAAGAAAAAGTCAGACTTGTAAAAAGCATGGCCAGGAAGGGAACATTTTTAACGAGGATTTGGAAGATGTGGGTGCTTCACAACAAACAGAAAGTCAGAATCCTGTCTGGATTCTGTGCTGGAAAGGGATGGACAAGAGTGGGAAGAAAGGTGGATGGTGCCATGAGCCCCAGTCCTGTAAATGTCACTGTCATTGCTGTCCCTGCTCTGGATTGACATTTTCTTTTTGTTTTCTTTTGTTTCTTTTCCTCTTAGGATGTTCACTCTCGCTACAGGACCGAGGCTCACCAGGACGTGGTGGGGAGATTYAATGAGAGGTGAGTTACTCAGAGTGCAGGAAAGCACCAGGAACAGCTCTGGGTATTCCTGACAGCAAAACACCCTCGGGGCTCCCTGCAAAAGGCCCTTTCTGAAAGCTGTGGGTTGCTGCACAATCTCTGTGCTTGGAAGAGAGTTGAAATGAGCCCCAGGAAGTGTTGCTGATGTTTTCTTTGCCTGCTCAGGTTCATTCTGTCGCTGGCCTCGTGCAAGAACTGCCTGGTGATTGATGACCAGCTGAATATCCTGCCCATCTCCAGCCACGCTGCCAACATCGCTCCTGTCCCCCCTCAGTCCCAGGTCAGTGAGGGATCCCAGCCCTTTGCCTTGGCAGAAATCCCTCTGAATTGGCCATTGGTCTAAGATTTAAAAACATTTAATTTTTTTATTTCACCCTGATTTATATCCAGTGATGGCATTGAAGAGAGGAAACGGAATTTTCTGCAAAAATTATGTGGGTGAAGTTTGTGGAGCTGATTTTTCTGTACTCTGCTTATTTTTTTAAGTTTCTGTCCCATCTCTTTTTGAGCTTGTCCATATTTATTAATTTCCCTGTATTTCTGTTCAGTGCAATGAGGTTGATTGTGGTTGCATAGAGGGATTTCAAGCTGATGGACAGAAGGAAAGGACAAAAAAAAGGACTTTTGAGCAGTTGGGGGCTGGGAGAACACTTTGGAAATGAGTTTATTGCAGGCTCAGGACACAACTGGAAGCTGTGGTAGTTGTTTCTAWTTCTGAGTTACACGTGTCACATCCCAGGAAAAAATCCCTGAGGGTAATCCTGACAAATATTTGCATCCTTTTATCACTTCCAGTTGTAGGCTGAGCCAGCTTTAAACTGAAATATTTGAACTGTGTTGTGTGGCCTGAGAAATAACCAACACAGGTTTTGTCAGGGGTGATAAAAACATTCTAATAGGGCACTGAGTTGAAGAAAAACTAAAATAAAACAACCTMTTTTTGTCATTAGAATGATGCTGACAGCAGCACTAATGCTCATCTGTTGGCTGGAGAGATCGGTGCCTTTGGAATTTTAAGTTTTCCAAATTTAAGTTTGGAATTTCCTTTAATAAGGAAGATCATCCTTCATTCCCATCTGAAATTGCTTGTGTTTGTGTCCAAGTTTATTGTTTAGCTCTTAAAATCTCAATATTATTTTGATATTGCTGCTGCAGTAGCTTTCCCCCTGCATGGGCACTTCATGTTACAGGTGTAATGAAAATCATAAAACCCCAAAGACTGAAAAATGAATTAAATTATTCAGAAAAATTTTCCATAATCTGTTTTTCCTCTCAATGAATGGTAATTCTCTAATTACTCTCTACTGCAAAATCCTTCCCTTTTTTTCCCTCGAAGCTGGGGGAAGCCAGGATGGGGGAACCTCATTGTGACCGTTCTCCTGAAAATGCCTGGAAATTTAAGTGTTAAATACATGCCTGTCCATATAAATGTTCACGTTTCTAGAGGATATATTCTTCTTGTGGTAACTTTTCCTTCCAGACACCTTTCTCTGCCTGACAGAAGGTGTCAGAAGACACCAAGAGAAGGCAGGATTGTGCTGCAGTGCACTTTGCTGATGGTGTGCTGTGCTTGTAGGAGGAGAGCCTGCGGCCCCAGGACCTGGAGCTGAAGGAGCTGAAGGAGAGCCTGCAGGACACACAGCCCGTGGGGGTTCTGGTGGATAACTGCAGAACYCTGGATCAGGTCAGTGTGCTGCACAGCTGGGCTTCTGTGGCCTTGGCAGGTGACAGGGGAAAGGAACTTAAACTCTGTTTTCTGGGGGTTTTCAGGCAAAAGCGGTTCTTAAGTTTATCGAAGCCATTTCTGAGAAGACCCTGCGGAGCACGGTGGCGTTAACAGCAGCCAGGGGACGAGGGAAATCTGCTGCTTTGGGGCTGGCCATTGCTGGAGCAGTAGCTTTTGGGTGAGTGATCCCCTCTTCAATCCCCCCTGCTTTATCTGCATCCCTGAGTTTAAAAAAACCACAAAACAAAACAAAAAAAACCCAAAACAAAACCCACCAAAAAAAACCCCCAGGATCTGAATCTGTAATTTTCAGTCTTAAATCCCTCATTTTTAGTCTTTTATCTTTTGATTGCTGCATACACCGTTGTTCAAGTTTTTCTTAAAACTCAAAATAATCATACATAAATTGAAATAGGTATCTCTAGGCACCTGCTGTGTTTTGGTTATTAGGTGAARTCAACCCCTCCTATAATAAACTCATCCTCTTTACTACTCGTGTGGTAAAATTTGTTAGAAAAATAGTTCAGCCCTTGTTTTGTTTTTTTTCCCTGCAGTTACTCCAATATTTTTGTCACATCTCCAAGCCCTGACAACCTTCATACTCTSTTTGAGTTCATATTTAAAGGCTTTGATGCACTGCAGTATCAGGTGAGGGGGGCAGACTATTTTACAATATTTTCATTCTTGCTTAGGAGGTTTTGCATCTCATCTGTGCTTTTGGTTACATATATTTGTTGCCAGCTTTTTGTAATGTCCTGCAAAAAAACAAATCATGGTAGAGTTATGTTTCTTTCTCTGTTTTTTTCTCTGTTTTTAAGCAGRGATCACTTCTTTGTGAAGCAGATCTTAACCTCAGTAAATAATTTCCCAGTTCTCAAGCCTTTTGTAAAAATTTTTAGTTAGAATGTGAAGTATCAGTGTCTGAGCTTATGATGATGATGATRGTAAATGATACTTTTCTTAGATCTTGGCTTTTCATATTGTTTTAAAATGTTATTTTCTAGGAGCACCTGGACTATGAGATTGTTCAGTCCTTAAATCCCGAGTTCAACAAGGCAGTGGTCAGAGTGAATGTGTTCAAGGAGCACAGGCAGACCATCCAGGTAACTGGCATTCTTGCCTTTCCTCTCTTTATTGCTGGCTGTTGTTTTTGCCAGTGCTGAAGGTGTTTGGATTTTAAGCATGTTCATTCTGTGTGATGTGTAACTGCCCTGATGGGTTCTGCTGTAAGGCAGACCTTTGGGGAGTGACTTCCTCAAAATGCCTTCTGTCTCCAGGGAACAACTTGTGCATTACAAAGCTCCCTGGTGGGTTTCTCCTGAAACAAAAGCAAAGGAAAGTGAAAGGAACAGTGCAAGAAGAGCTTTTGCTTTTAGTGATTGGATTCCCTTCATTTTCCTCACCTCTGCATATAAATTTGTGTGGAATTGTGCTAAACAAGATGTGTGARTCAGTCCTTGTTAGGGAAACATAAACCCCCTCCTGACATTTGTTTTTCCACGTCTCAGTTTCTGGCTTGGTGTTTGAGGAGAGCAGGGACAACAAGCAGCTTTTCAGGGCTCCAGTTTTGTGCCTTGTGCTGCTGCTGGCAGTGACAGTGCCCTCTTGTTCCTTGCAGTACATCCACCCTGCAGACTCGGTGAAGCTGGGCCAGGCTGAGCTCGTGGTGATCGATGAGGCCGCTGCCATTCCTCTGCCCCTGGTGAAGAACCTTCTGGGCCCTTACCTGGTGTTCATGGCTTCCACCATCAACGGGTAGGGCTGGAGCAGCTGCTGTGGCCTCTGCTGCAGCTTTGCTGTGGCCCAGAATGGCTGCCTGGCTCTTTGCTTCAGGCTCTTTGTGTCCTGTTCCACAGCTATGAGGGCACGGGGCGCTCGCTGTCCCTGAAGCTCATCCAGCAGCTCCGCCAGCAGAGCGCCCAGAGCCAGGTGACCCTGACAGCAGAGAACAAATCCACAGCCACTGCCAAGCTCACCTCAGGTACAGCACYTCTGGGTTGGGTGTCACTGTGTCATTGTCAGCCTGATCCCATGGCTGTCCCACACATCCCTGGGAAAGGGGGTGCGTGGGGAAATGACGGAGCTCCGCTGCTTTTCCCTCCTGAGTTTCAGATGAAAAGCTTTTCAGAGGTGGAAGTTGGCAACTGATAATTAATCTGGGAGCCCTTCAGAGCACAGGGATGCTGTGGGATTCCTGGCTGGCTGTGGCTCCCAGCACTGAATGTCCTCTGGCACCATTGCAGCTCGCACGTTGCACGAGGTGTCCCTGCACGAGTCCATCAGGTACGCTCCTGGGGACGCCGTGGAGAAGTGGCTGAATGACCTCCTGTGCTTGGACTGCCTCAACATCACCAGGATCATCTCTGGCTGCCCTCTGCCAGACACCTGTGACCTGTATCCTCACTGAAAGCCTCTCAGGCTGGGTGAACTGCTGGTTCTGGAGCTGGTGGGATAAGCTCAGCACGTGATCATTTTGKTAACCCCTGGAGTTAAGCTCTCGTGGCACTGCTGGTGTGTGTTACCAGGACATTACCAAACTCCAGTTTTGCTGCAGACAACCTCAAGGAAGGGTTGCATGAAGGGACGTCCTTGTTGGAGTTCCAAAAGGTTTATCTTTACAGGTGAAGGCCTGAAAGGTACAAACACTGCCCAGCATAATTTATCYTTGTAGATAAAGCTGTGGAGCTTAAGAGGACTGGCTTAAGCCAGCTTGTGGCTCAAATATCAAAACTAAACCAACAGGGAGCTTTTCCCTGATTTCCAAGGAGGTTTTTTTTCCTTAATCCCTGTGTTTAGGTACTATGTAAATAGAGACACACTCTTCTGTTACCACAGAGCATCCGAAGTGTTCCTGCAGAGGCTGATGGCCCTCTATGTGGCTTCACACTACAAGGTAGGGCTGCTGCTTYTTCCATCCAATTTCATTCCAGTTTCAGTGTGGAATTTTTGGGGGAGAGCTGTGCTTTGTTATGACAGCTTGATTGAAATTTTTGAACAGCTTCTGTTGCTCCTTGTAGGCAGAGCTGTGTTCTCCTCGTGAGATCCTGATCCTGCCTGAACATACTGGATTTACAGATAATCTGGAATATTTTTGCTCTGAGAAAATAAGGAGACTAAAATTCTAGATGAGCCTCCTTTATCAGTGCTGAACCTCATTTGCAGTTCTCTTTACCATGTTCTGGTGGCCTCAAGTTCATCAAGGGTCAGCAGCATTATGATACTGAAAAGAGGAATAATTTGTCCTGAGATTTCAAGACCTGGGGTGATCAGTAAATGTGAGTGGTAAAGTCCAGAAGCATTGAAGTACTGAGTGCTAAAATTCTGAGGCTTAAAATAAAATTAAGGTTTGCTGCTTCATAGGTAAAGGAGCCGTATGAAAATAGAAGTTSAGTTTCATACATATTAGAGCACAAGGTTTGAGCACAATAATGAGGAAAGCAGGTGCTGTCTGGTGCTGTGACAGCCATGAGCTGGCATTGTTCTAGTTCCAAATTTCTTAATAGCCCTCAATTCAGAATGTGGAGGATTGTTTAGAAGTCAGCTTCTGACATTACACTGGACTTTGAAGCTCTCCTCATGGATAAGCTTTTGGGTACCACTCTCAGGCACATTTGTGGGGTTCTTGGGGCTGTGCTGTGCAGGGCCAGAGTTGGATCCTCATGGGTCTCTTCCATCTCAGGATATTCTGCGATTCTCTGGATACTTTTTCAWCTTTCTGTTGTCTTTACCCTCCAGAACTCCCCCAATGACCTCCAGATGCTCTCTGATGCCCCTGCCCATCATCTCTTTTGCCTTTTGCCACCTGTTCCACCCACCCAGAATTCACTACCYGAAGTCCTGGCTGTTGTTCAGGTAAGAGGATGACCTGAGTGTCAGTTTTGATTCAGATATGGTTGGGTGGCTGCAGGAGAAAGCTCTTTGTGCATGTTCATGGATTTCTGCCTTCCCTGGCAGGTGTGCTTGGAGGGAGAGATCTCCCGCCAGTCCAYCATGAACAGCCTCTCCAGGGGAAAGAAAGCCTCTGGGGATCTCATTCCCTGGACCATTTCAGAGCAGGTGGGTAAACACACCCAAGTGTATTTCAGCACTGTTTCTTGTTTCCAGAAATAAATTGACTTTTTGTCCCTTGTGCAGTTCCAGGATCCAGACTTCGGGGGCCTCTCCGGCGGGCGCGTCGTTCGCATCGCGGTTCACCCGGATTATCAGGGGGTAAAGTGCCAGGGACCCAGCTGTGCCATGGAAATGGCTCTCCAGGCAGAGTTCAGGAACTGGGMAAACATTTCAGTTCCTCCAGTTTTTAGTATTTTAAGGTCAAGGCACCAAACCAGTGGTCACATTGTTTGGAGGCAGCATCAGAGCATCTTGAGCAGCCAGAGACAATTCAGTTCCAGGGTTATTTACTGCGAGATTACCRAGTGTTTGGCATTTTCTGAGTGCCAGAGTTAAGCCCCAAGAATGATTGCACAGCCCTGAACTATCAGCTGGGCTCTCACTGTGATTGCAGACACCTTAGTTCTGTAGGGTCCTCCACAGAGCTGCCATGTGGCCAAAAAAAAGCATTTGTGCAGTGAGTGAGTGATGTTTGCACTGCTGGTTGTTAAAGGGTTTTAAGGGGAGAATGTCGTCTCTTAAACACTAGAGACATGTTTTTCTACAGTGTGTTGTTCCTTCTTCACAGATGGGCTACGGCAGCAGAGCTCTGACTTTGCTRCAGATGTACTACGAAGGCAAATTCCCATGTTTGGAAGAAAGAACAGTTCAAAAGCCAAAAGAAATTGCAACTGTGAGCAGTGAGGTATGRCACGTTTTTGTATTTTCTATTGTGCTAAAGCTGTTCATTTTTCCCTGTAAGTCTGCTCTCTGTGAGGAGGAAATGCTCATATTTGATTTTTATACAGAAGAGCTTTCATTTGCAGGTTTCTGTAGGGTTTGCTGCTCACCATTTCCACTTTCTTTTCCAGACTGTGGGCTTGTTAGAAGAGGTTGTGACACCTCGGAAAGATTTGCCTCCTTTGCTCCTCAAACTGAGTGAGAGACAAGCTGAGAACCTGGACTATCTCGGGGTGTCTTATGGCCTGACCCCAAGATTGCTCAAGTAGGAYATTATTCTATTTCCCAGTTACATCTTGACCTTCTTGGTTGCCTCTGTGACCCCTCTAAACAGACGATGAGCTTTACTTGCGCAGTTTTTCTAAAGTGTAGAAGTAAGAGCAGCCTGTAATAAATAGGGAGAGGTGAATTTCTAATTCCTGTGACCTTTGGAAACTTGAGCTGCTGCTGATTTCGGAGCTGGTTGTTGTTTTCCTCACTAGTGTACACAGCATCTTGAACGTTGGTTCATTTTTTGATGTCACAGTTATAATTTTTCACTCCCCTGAACTGGACCCTCAGTCAGGTGGGTGCTGTTCCTGCCTTCTGCCTGTGCTCATTTCTACTGATTGCTGGGGGGTCTTGGCTTGCTCCTCACCAGCTGTCCTTGTACAGCAGATAAACTGCATTCAACCACAATTTATTGCTGTGCAATCAGTGGCTCCATAATTCTCAGTGAGTTCCCTCTCTTTCCCAGGTTTTGGAAGCGTGCTGGATTTGTGCCAGTTTATCTGAGGCAGACCCCAGTAAGTACCACGCTGTTCCTGAGTGAAAATCCAGCCCTGCTGAAATCCCTGGGCAGATACTCCAGTAGATTCTGGGAGAAGTGATTTGGGGCAGGAAGGGTTTTTGAGGCTGCTTTTTGGGCTTGGTTTATGTTCRTTTTTGTTCTCTGGGCCTATAGTTAAGGAGGAAAGTTTTAGGGTTGTGAATGGGTGCCTCCAAGTAGTTTGCAAATAAAAAATTAGAGCAGAGGTGCAGCAGCTGAGGTTTATGAATGTGGTTATTGGTAAAATAGCTGATATTTACCAAATTCCAGAAGTCCATAGGTTTTTCACTAAGTGGAGGTGGTCAGTAGCAGTTGATATATGTGTTGCTGTGTATTTAGAAAATACTTCCCTTTCTCAGCTGAGCATGGAGTGCAAAAGGTTCGTGGGGATGATGGGAAATAAATCCATCAGAGAATCACAGAACTGTATCTTATTTATCAGAACGACCTGACTGGAGAGCACTCCTGCATCATGCTGAAGATGCTGAATGAAGAGGACTCRGAGCAGGAACCTTGGCTCACTGCCTTCTGGAAAGGTAACTCTGGTCCTGCTAACTCTGGAAGAGCTCTCTGGGATGTTTATTGTTCTAGAGGCCCACTGGGGTAATTTCTTTTGTCCTCTTGCCCTGTAGATTTTAGGAGGCGGTTCCTTTCCCTGCTTTCCTACCAGTTCAGYACCTTCTCTCCCTCCTTGGCCCTGAACATTATACAGAACAAAAACATCAAACAGCAGCCCCAAGCACGTGAGTACCCTGACTGTGAGAGCTGTAAGTGTGTGACAGAGTGTGGCTGGAGCCTGGCACCTGCAATTTGCTGTTTTCTCAAGGTGTTCAGCAGAGGAGAGTCCTCTGGGGAGAGCCTGTGGGGTTTTGGTGTCTGTCTTGGTTAGAGGGAACAGCCCTCTTTGACAGCAAAAACAGTGGGAATTGTTGAAAACTGGGCAGTTTGTCACTTCTCACTGCTTTCAGTCTCTCTGGCCTGTTTAAGTTGAGAAGCTGGTCTGTTTTCGCAGTTGCCATGTTTTCCATAGGGATGTCTACCTGCCTGAAAAGACTTGGGATAACCACGGTAGCAGTGTTGCTGAATTGAGTTGTTTRGAAGGGCACCCACCATGGGGTGGYAATTGGCCTTTCTCAGCCACAGGARAAACGTTAAATAMCTAAATCAAAGTTAAACATTGAGATCCTGGGTAGCTCTGAAGAGCCTTCCTGACCTTGCTGTCTCTTTGTTGTCCCCACCAGCCATCAGCCGTGCAGAGCTGGAGTCAGTTTTCATCCCATACGACCTGAAAAGGCTGGAGATGTATTCCCGTAACATGGTGGACTATCACCTCATCATGGACATGGTTCCCACCATTGCCAGGATGTTCTTCCTCAACCAGATGGGAGATATCTCCCTCTCTGCTGCCCAGTCGGTGTGTGGATGGTGTGGAGCRAGGATTTGGGGATAAAACACAGGGAATGTAGTGGGGAATGTGTSTTTGTGTTTGCTCTGTGACTGAGATCCATGTCTTTGCCTTAGGCCCTTTTTCTAGGGATTGGCTTACAGCACAAATCTCTGGACCAGCTGGAAAAGGAGATGGAACTACCCAGCAGTCAATTGATGGGACTYTTCAACAGGATCATCCGCAAAGTAGTGCAGGTAGGAGCAGCAGGACAAGCCTTGGTTGTATTGGCCCATAATTCCACTATTTAACAGAAAACATGACACCAAGAGAAAGCTGAATYAGAGCTGGGCAGCTTTAACATCCCCAGTTACTGACCGTAAACCTCTTTGTAAAATGGAGAAAATCCCAGCAGGAAAATTGCTGGCAYTGATTTAAATGCCCATGGSAGGGYGTTTGGAAYTGGATGATCTTTAAGGTCCCTTCCAACCCAAACCATTTRATCATTCTGTATAGTGATTTCCCAGATAAGAGTGCTTATCTTACATGTGGAAATGTCCTGACTGAAATACTGAGCAGACAGATGTTCCCTGAGCCATTCCATTGTTCAGTGCACTGGTGGCATCTGAGCTTCTCTTGTAAAAAAAGTTAAATTATTTTCCAGTGTTATCTAGAGGTGGACTTGAAGAGTAGTGAAATCATTGAAAGGTTTTGGATCTGCTTTCTGGTTTTCTTTCTCACTAAGGTTTAGGACAGCAAAGCTCCTGAAGTCTTGCACTAGGAGTTTATTGTAGAGGTGATAAATGATGCTTCATAAACCAAGTCTTACATGTGCTGGGTAATTTCGTTTTCAGCTGTTCAACACAGTCCAGGAAAAAGCTGTGGAGGAGCAGATGGCAGCAACAAAGGATGTTGTGATGGAGCCAACACTGAAATCTTTAAATGACGATTTGGTAATTACAAGCTTTTATTCCTAGCTCATATGAAAACACTTCAGGGAGTTCCCTTGAGTGTTGAAGCATTGTAATCTAAATTTTCTTGGACAGGAAGAGTTCCACACCACGTCTGTCACTGTAAAGGAATTAAAACCTGAYAGGTTTGCACTTTGTGCATGTGGAGTTGTGCTTTAAGCTGCAATATGGGGTTTTCACAGAAAATGTCAAGTATATGTATACAAGTAAAATCAAAATGTAATTATATAAAAGAGAGATGCTATTCAGGATYAACTGGTGCTTGTTTTAGAGGCTGTATTTATGGGAAAAGGCATCTTCCTCCCRTTACAAAGTCACTGTTGCCCTCAGGACTTAATGCATCTTGTGCTGTCCTGTTGCAGGAGGAGGCTGCAAAGGAATTCCAAGAAAAGCACAAGCAAGAAGTGATGAAGCTGAAGGAAATGGACCTTACACAGTAAGAATTCATCTGCCTGGGTCTTGATTTCGGTTTTTTCCCTGGTTGGAGTGCTAGGTCTGGGATTTGTGCAGAAGGCTGTAGTTGCAGTAAACCATCAGTAAGTGATGGTGTGTATTGTCAGCAATGGGTAAAACATAAAAAAACCCCAAATCACACAAAAAGAGCAACCAACCAGAGCTTGAGCCAGGAGGATCAGCAGATTTCTCTCTTTCTGGACCAGCAGTAGTTAGATGTCACTGATTCTGTCTCTTCTCTCTTACTTTTTGTCTTATAAACCCTGTTTACTGTGCTGATGTCCCAGTAAAGTTCTCTGGTTTGGATCTAAATTGATCTGTTAAATTTTGGAAAAGGAATAAAAGCTTCTTTGATCTTTGATTGTCATGTTTRAAGAAAGGACAAGAAGGGATATGATTTGAAGTGACTTGCATGTCAGTCACATAAGGAAAATAATACAACCAGAATGCTTTTGGAGTTTTCATTCCTTTTTTTAAGCATTGGTAGTGCTACATCTGTTTCTGTAATTTTGGATCTTGTTTCCTTTTTTTCTCCCTCTGCTAGAAACAGATTTTTGTTCGCCACCATGAGGAGAAAAAAAAAATCTATTTTGACCACTTCTCAAWGCAGGTTATAGAAAACTTGTGAGGCTTTGTCCAGCATTTCTCAGCTTTGTGTGGACAAAGCCTCATCTATTCCAAATCCCCGAGAACTTGAGATGGAGAGCAGCTGCTCCATCTTGCTACACAATTGCTTTGTCTTTTTAAATCTGGGTGAAATTTCCAGGGTGCTTGAACACCCAGACAAGAGCCACAGAACATGAACTTATTTGAGCAGCAATTGTTGTCTTTATTTCTCTTTTTGAAATCAAGCTGCAGCTCTTCAGTTGTTCCCAGGCTAAGCCAGAAGAACTGTCCCATGGCAGCTTTGCCAGCCTGGATTTGTGTGTGTTTCCCGAATCTGATTTGGTTGGGTGCTGACACAGGGRCTTTGTTTGCAGAGTAGTGTGTGCCTGATGGTAGAAACACCTCATTTTTATGGTTTTTCCTTTGTGCTGACAATCTGACTTTTCCTTTGCTTTTCCCACTTAGGTACATTATCCGAGGCGATGACGAGGAGTGGAACGAAGTGTTGAGCAAAGCAGGCCAGAATGCTTCTGTTGTCAGTCTTAAAAGGTGAAGGAAGTTGAAATAGTCCAGACATTTCTCTGGTGTTTACTGCTGGCTTTGTTACAACGTTTTTCAAAGGAGCAAAGCCTAAGTTTTAAATGCAGATTAAATGAACTCAGTGTCCTAGACAGATCCTCAGTTTTCCTGGAGAAATTGGGCTGTGAGCACCKGTGAGCTTTACTGCTCCATGGGTCTGTGTTGCTCTAAGGGTAGTGCTGCCTTCATGGAACTCATGTGCTAGTTCTGACTTTATTCCTGRTGATCTGATCCTGATCCCACACAGAAGCTGGGACTGTTCCTCCYTTGGGTGACTCATTCCACCTGACTGTCCCATTTGCTTTGCGAACTAACATGAGGTAGGAACCCCTGGGGGTGCCATTGGAGAAAAAGCAAATTCAGGGAAGAAGAATACTTTTAAATGGGAGCTTGAGCCTGGAAAATGTTCGTGTTTCTGCAGTTTCTTCCTTTTCATTCATCTTCTTTCTCTGCCTTGCCCAATATGGAATCTTCATGTATTTTTSCTTGGGGTTTTATAGTTGAGTCTTCCCTGCTCGCTTATTTCCTCTTCCTGGGGTGCCTGACAGCCCAAGTAATGATGTGATCTCTATTCCACCCTTTCATGGTTTTTTCCATGAATGCTGGAAGCTGCGAGTTTCCAGAAGCCAGAAAGTTTCCAGAAATCAGAAGCCTAGGGAGGAGGGAATCTTGTCACTGCTGATGGAAATCAGAGCTTGGAATTCTGTCGTGTTTGCTCAAGTCAGAATCCAGTGCAGGARCAAAATTGTATGTTCAGAACTATCAGTGGTAATGTTTCTTCTAGATATTCTAAATTCTGGACACCCCATTTAGGACAGATTAAGTTTTGAAAAGCAAAGAACTAAAAATCAAGAGCTTCTGGGTTAGAGAATCTGAGGGCACTATAAAACCTAAGTCAGGCTCTTGTTGGTGCTTTTTCTAGCACCGCATTTAAATGACCTGAGAAATTGGGGTTTTGCTCCCTCTCCTATCTTACAACAAAAATGTRTATTTTTAACAGTTGTTTTGTCCCTGTTTCTCAGTGACAAGAAAAGAAAATTAGAAACAGGGAGAGGACCCAAGCAACAGAAGAAATTTAAGAAGACCAAAGATCTAAAGCAGAAGAGGAAGAAATGACTTTGAAGCCAATCAGTGAACTTGAATTAACAAGTGCTGGGTCTGTACTTAAGACATCCTGTTCTCCTCTAAATCAAGAGACTATTTTGGAGGGAAGAAGCATCCTTGGAGGCATTTCCAWGTGTTTGTATTGTGGGAAGAACAGTGCTCAAGTGTCTGTGCGAAGATTTTTATATGAAGTGTGAGTGCAGAGTGTGAGTGAGGAACAGGCATAGACTGGGATGCTGTGAAGGTGCTTGAGCAGCTACAGAGCTCCCATTCCAAGAGGGCAGATAAATACGTAAACTTCCTGCATCTTAATGGTCCTATRGTTTATTAAAAAAGAGTTTGGACAACACAGGATAGAAATGTGACTCTTTCTTAGCACTGAAGCACACCTTGATCAATGCTGGTGGTCCGCTGGAGCTTGAAGGGGCATTTATGTACTTTTTATTTGGGGCTGGCTGATCACGGAACATGGACTTCCATCTCCGTGTTGTCCTAGAGATGCTCCTTGGCTTTGGTGGAAAGTTTTGTGTTCAGGTTGCCAGGAATCAGCACTGTTGTACCAAAACCTGTTTGTGTGATCTTCTCTTGACCTCAGGGCCCAGTTGGGCAGCCAAGCACTGAATTCCCAGCTCTGCTGGTCCATGGTCCCTGCTTGGCAATAAATGTGTGCCAGGCTGGAGCTGGGGATTGCTGTGACTGTGGGACTCGGAGCAAGCACCGCCAGGATCCGACCCGAACGCCAGGGGCTGAGTCCTCCTCCCAGCCCCACCTCAGCGCCAAGGCATCCATGCAGTGCTCCGGGTGATGGTCGCACCGCTTCGTGGGATGAGCATCCACCGCACAAAATGGAGCAGGTGCCTGTGCCATTGTCTCACTGTGACTGTGTGCTGGGCAAGCCCAGCTCTGGAGCCCTGGGTCCTGGTATCCCCAGTCCTTGGCTGTAAGGAATTCCCAGGAGCAAGTGTTTCTTGCGGCTTTGGCAGCAGAGCAACATCTCTGTCCCTGTCAYGCACTGGCCCTTGGAATGCATACAGGAGCCCTGTGTCTCTTGGGGTGAGCCCAAGTGGCCGCTACAGTCTGAAAGAGCAGCTGTTGTTTCACTGTCACATTTCTTGGCTTGTTAAAGCCCCTCGGACCTGTACTACAGCCCCTGCTCAAAGACACAAAACCACTATTCTGGAGGAAAGGCATCAAAACCCTGACAAAGGCTGAAAGGAACACTCTGATCATCCCTTTGCCAAAGAGGTTTATTTAGCTAAAGTTGCTAAGAGGGAGCAGACTTGACAGCCCACAATGGGTTTATTGTTTTATTTTCTGGGTCCTCAGTCCTGCATGGGGCTTAGTCAGTGGGTACTGCAGAGGCTCCAGCAAGGCATCAAAGATGCCGGCCCTGCACCCAAGGGTGGTGCAAGATCTCCAGTGCCGGCCTGTCTGCGAGGTGCTTGGCCAAACACCAGCAGATCAGCTGTTGGCACTCTGGGCAGAGAAGGCAGAAAGCGCCGGTCACTTACACAAGGCTCCTGCCCGGCCGTTCCCAGCGCCCACTGTGCCTGGGCCATGCTGTGAGTGCTCAGAGCTGCGCCGGCCTCACAGCACACTCTACCCTTTGTGGGAGAGTGGCATGGCAGGACACACTCCGGCCACCTCCTTCAGCCTCCCAGAGCCCAGCACAGGCCACATCGACCTGCCGCTGAGCCGCGTGAGCGCCATGCTGGGCTGCCTGACTGCACCCGTGTTCTTGAGGCCACACACCAACCTGGAGTGAGTGACCCGCTGCCCAAAGCAGAGCTGCCCCAGCACAATGTCACGGTCCTCCCAGAAGGGGATGTCCCTGCAGACCATGATGTACAGCAGCACGCCGAGGGACCAAATGGTCGCTGAATGGCCGCAGTAGCAGCCAAAGCGGATCCACTGGGGCGGGCTGTACGTGTGTGTTCCTAGGGGAGACAGGCAGCGCTGTCCAGGTGCAGGCTGCTGCCCTCCAGAACCTGGCCCCAGCTTCCTGGCAGAGGCAGGAGCTGCACCAGTGGCCACAACTTCCCCCCAAGGCTGCAGCCCATGCCCAGCACRCTGGCCAAAGCYRAGACACCCTTCTGCCAGGTGGAGAAGGGCAGCGGCACAGCCCAAGCAAGCCCTCGTGGGCCTGCCAAGCCCAGCGGCTGGGGCCTGGCTTTTGCAGCCCTGCTCTGTGGGCTGGGCTGGCAGCCGTCTCCTGGGCCACAGCATCGGCCCCGTGCCCAAGGGGAGCCAGCAGCTGGCTGAATGCTGCTCCCCACAGCCCAAGAGGGAATGGGGCTGGGCAATGCCGGCACCAGGAGCGCAGCCCCAAATGTGGGCTCACTGACAAAGCGTGTGAAGGGCCGCTCCTGGAGAAAGGTGCCGCAACCGAAGTCGATGAGCTTCAGATCACCRCTCTCYGGTCCAYGAGGAGGWTCTCCGGCTTGATSTCRCGGTGCAGGACACYGCAGGCAGTGCAGTGCCRCAYGGCCTCCAGCACCTGGCAGAAMAGCCAGCGCACCACCTCCTCRCACAGGAACTCCCGCTCCAGCAGGAAGTGCGAGAGATCCTGCAATGGCTCCAGATGCTCCATGACCAGCATGAAGCTGTCAGGCAGCTCAAACCAGTCAAGGAGCTGGATGATGYTGCGGCAGCCAGAGCCCACCTTCTCCAGGAGCACAATCTCCATCGGAACACACCTGCTGTTGGGCTGTGAGGAAGAGACAATGCCTCCGGTGAGACAATGCCCCAGTGTCCTTTTTTGTCTCCAGGGCTTGGGTGTGAGTGCCTCGGGACTGTCCCCTGGCTGGCCCTGGCAGTGCTGTTTGACACCCCAGGGTCGGCCCTGCTCCGGCTCACACGCTGAGCCCGCGCTCGCTCCCCCCTGCATCTCCCTCCTCCTACAGTCGGGGCCCTCTGGATTTATCCCTGCCCGCCACGGCCCGCTCTGTCCTGCTGGTCCCGCTCACTCACCAACTCGTCCCACTCCAGCACGCTCTCCCGGCTCACCCGTTTGATGGCCACCAGTAAGCCCATGAGAGAGGAGGGCTGAGCTCCAGCCCTGCTCTGCCCGGCCTCCTCTCACGCCCGACCCTCCTCTCATGCCTGGCCAGCTGAGCCACTTTCTGGGCTCCTGCTCGAGAGGCAGATGCCCGAGAAAACGGTGCCGAAGACACCACTCCCCAGCTGCGGGCCCAGCCGGTACAGCTCCTGCAGCTGCTTCTTTTGCCCTGTGGCCAAGACCGAGCCATCAGCCTTCCGCCCGGGGCCCCCACAAATGCCCACCAGTGCCCTGGGCCGGGCACCGCGGGCCCCGTTGCTCTGACCCGCTTGGTGCTGTGCGCCGGGCAGCGGCCACTGCCTGGCAGCCGTGGGCTGGCGMGCGGCACAGCTGGGCCAGGGCAGCRYRGAGAGGYGGCTGCAGGAGCCCAGAGCAACGGGGTAGGGTGGCACCGTCACTGTCCCCGGCATCATGGGCTGGACTCAGCTCTTGAGGGCGGCCGGGGCTACAGCCCGAGGCTTCACACAGGGGCGTCCCAGGAGCAGCTGCAGAGCACAGAGGATTTTTGGAAGTCGTGGCATCAGAGGCACTGGAAGCAGCCAGGGACTCGGCTGCCCTGAGGGACTGTGCTCCGGCCTGGGGATGTCCCTCAG